TCAAATTGATTTAGTATGTCGCAAGACAGGGTTTTTCAGATTCTGACGATGACGAAAAGAGCACTGGAAAACAAGAATGCGCAGACTATAGGCGCGATAAAAACACCAGAAAAGAAGGAACAATCTCTGCATGTGGTGAAGATTAAAAGGATACCTTACGGTCTTTTTGAGAAGGTGTGATCTATTCGTTTTGTATATCGAAGATGTTCTGAAAGGGTCATATCATACTAAGTTATTGAGCGCATGTATACTGCGTTTTAGTGACAGTGTCACCGGCTAATGCGGCTTGATTTCGTGCAGCCGCCTCGCTCGGGGCTTGTGCAGCGTCTGCGACGTATTTTCTGAGTGTATTCGCGCGCCTGAGAGGCGACTAGGGCGGTGGGAGTGGGAAAATACTCAGAGGATGAGTACCGGACGCTTCGCTTGGTCCAATAGGAGACGTAGCCGGACGAGCTATCGACACTGTCACTGAGACAGAGCGTATGGGCTTTGCTTTGTGAAGGTATCGGCTGCGGACATTGCTTGAATAGAACGCACAAGGCTCTAAAGCATTTAAATAGATGAGATCATCTCTTCACTTGTCAAATTGTGATCATAGTTAACATCTGGTGGCACAAAAAAGTTCTGATGGCAAATTATGTGAGCAGTGGACGGAAACTTACCGATTCAAAATTAGATACAGGCCCAACGCACATACAATACTTGATCCACTTATCAACCTCACCCACTTCGCTATCGCAAAATTAGTGTAATGGTCAGGCGAAGTGGATCAAGCGGATAAGCGGATCAAGTGGACATCCGCTTCGCTATTCAGCTCACTGATTTGATCATTAGCGGAGTGGATCAAGTGGATTGACTATGGCGGTGCCATACCTCACAGTCTTTGTCTCAAGTCTATCAAGATGCGGTCATTATCTTTTTCAGCAACTTTGGGAATACTTTACCCAGTTTGGAAAGGTTATTCGAGTTCGAGTAGCACGAAGTGTGAAGGTACGTGTTATTTGTTAGATCAGTGATGGAGGTGATATGGTACGTTTTTAGACAGGAAATCATAAAGGATGGGCATATGTCGGCTTTGAAGATAAAGAAGTTGCCGAAATAGCGGCAGAAACTATGGACGGTTATTTGATGTTTGAGAAAAGACTCAGCTGTCATGTAAGCTGCTACTGCTCTCGCCATTGGATTCGATTCTCGCAATCGGCTTAGGTAATGGATCCAAAAGACGTTCCAAGAAGTATGAAAAGTGGACCTCGATATCTCGCTCCGCCTCACTTGAGAGGAAAAGCCAAGAAAGAAGCGCTTCTGAGAAACACTGCGAAACCTTCAGAACAGGAGGAGAGGAATAAGGTTAGCTCACTGAATTTACAGGCTGTGTTCTAATTTCTCATATTTTGCTTTATATTAAGCGGGCAAACGGTTCACTTCGCCATTTTTTCAATGTTTTTACTGGTGCCTGATGTTATTTTTCTAAAACTTGTCAAGAAAATTGGTGGTAAAATCCTGCTACAACTACTTGACGGTTGTTCGTCAGATTGCAATTGCTTATGTTTTAGGTGCTTTTTTTGCAAA